GTTATTGCTAAACTATTAATCCAGAGACCCAGGTAATGTTCTGGAGACCTGGGTTCGAATCCCATCATAGCAGATAGTGGAATTTGAACCCAATAATAATCTGGAATTAAAAGTCTAATGATGACCATGAATCCATTGCTGATTGTCAGGAAAAGCCCATCTGGTTCACTAATGTCCTTTAGGGAAGGAAATCTGCCATCCTTACCTGGCCTGGCCTACATGTGACTCCAGACCCACAGCAATGTGGTTGACTCTGAACTGCCCTCTGGGCAATTAGGGATGGTCAATAAATGATGGTCCAGCCAGCAATGCCCACATCCCATAAAGGATAAAAAAAAGTGCCAAGATGGTATGTAACCAAAAGCTTGGTCAGAGTTAGATTTTAAGCATCATCTTTAAGTGGGAGACAAAGAAGTGACGAGAATTAGGGGGGCAGCTGAAGGCACATCAATAATAGAATAATTAAAATCAGTCTGCTCCAGAGGCCTGACTTAGAATACAATTATTTTAGCGAGCTCTGGGGCTGGAGGAGATTACAGAGATGGGAAGGGAAGATGTAATGGAAGGAATTTGAAACAAAGATGAAGATTTTAAAAAAACCCAAGCATTGTTTAAGCAGGAATCAGTGAGCATGGTGTGGCAACAGGCAAACAAGCCTAGCAGCAGAGCTTCAGTAACCCCCAGTTTGCAGGGGTAGTGTGTGCAGGAGCTGCAAGGGGTGTGTTGGAACAGAGAAATCAGGAGGTAAGGAAGGCATTGAGGAGCTAGGTTCAGACAAGGTGAAGAGGTGGTCACCTGACCCACTCAAACTGTCCATTCCCCAAGGACTCAACAAACACATAGTTCCTTGCAATCTTTATTTTATTCAACATATTGCTTCCTCCTGGCAAATAGAGTCTTCAGGAAGTCACAAGCCTTCAAACACCACAATGCACATTTGTCATTAAATATAATACAGAATTCGAACATTTGAATAAATTTTTATTTGACGGTGACATTCTGATGGCAAACATGTACAATTATAAAACTCTTTGTGCCTAAACTGAGCACCAGGTCGTCAAGTCTCCTCCTCCCATCTCTCCCCAGCCATCTAAATCCAAACTCAAAATCAAAACTGACAGCAGGTTGAGTCTTTGCCTGCAGGTGACACTTAGCCTTGGAATGAAGGGAGTAATGCCAAACCATTCAGAGTAGCAGGGAAACCAGGAAATCCATCGCACACTGCATTGGCCACTGTTTCCTCACCGTTCGCAGAAACCACAATTGTGCATTCATTAACAACCAAAGCGCTTCTCTGGAAAGTTGGGAAATTTCAGGAGAGAAATTATCATGTCATTTTCGTAAGGAAAATTCCGTCCAACTTTTTAGAAGCTCTGAATGATTGCCACATTCCCTACCGGAGTAGGTCTCCCCTCATAACGCGGACGTTAACTATTATCTAGAAGGATTACTGACAGTGGACAGAGAGCTCGGGAGTAATTCAGAAAAAGGGAGGGGGTAAGAAATTTCAGAACGTCGGGTGCCAACCAAAGAGATTTTCGCCCAGCTGATCCAGAACAGGTTTCTTTTTAAACCTCACAAGACGATCGCCTGAGCTGGCGGTCTCCACTGAGTTTAAAGAGGTCAGCAGGCATGTGCTAAAACCACCACCTACAGATCTCTCAATGCCGTTTCTTTAAGGGTCAAAATCCTGGCAAGTTCCACCTAAGAGCACTGAGGGTGCAATGATACGACATGGACTGCAGTGGTTCAAGTCGGTGGCTCTCCACTACCAACTCGAGGGCGATTAGGGCTGGGCAACAGGAGATTGGCAACATCATGTGAATAAATTAAATTAGAAAGAACTGTCTCAACCAAGGCGGGTGCACATCCTATTCCGTCCCTGATCAGGGCTCCCCCTGACATATTTCAAGTTAATTGAATGTTCTCCTTGTGCTGACAGATACCTGGGTAATATTCCCCAAACCACCTCCACTCCAGCTGCCTCTGTCACTATTCGTTTTAGCAAGTTTTCAAATTACAGCGCAGCTTTCTCTGCTAAAGCTTCAGAGGGCAGACTAACAATAAAGGATGCAAATGTATCCTTCAGTACTGGAGGGCACTGAAGGCATGGTCAGAGGACTCCCAGGCACTGAGGCAGGGCTAAACTGGCTGCAAGGGAACAAAGAGCCAACCCCAACCACTGTCTGGTCCATGATGGATAGAAGACTCCTTGTGTCTCCGTCCTTCCTAAGTGGCTTCACTCTTCCTGATGGCTGTGTACACAAACCAGCAGGAAAGGTGACTGGGACCGTGGAAAAGTGTGAACCACACAGCTAGTGTTGGCGAAAGGCTCCTAAACACCTTGCATCAGCAGTCACTGCTCTGGTGAAAACAAAACTGCACAGATCTCGATATGGACAGAGTGAGAAAACCTGTATTTATGTAACACCTTTCACAGCCCCTGGGATGTCCCAAAGTGCCTGCCAGACAATGAATTTAATTGAAGTGCAATGACAACCGGGCGGGCAAATGCCACATGCTGATTTTTGCAAAACAAAGTCTCAATTATAACAACGAAACACCCGAGCAGCTAAATGCTTTTCCTTCAGAGTGGGATTGATTGAGGGGCGGATATTGAAAGGGCAGAACGACGAAGCTCTTAGGGCAGTTCTACAAGCTGTTGCATGCTCATCATCAGATCAGGCAGGCAGAGGCCTTGGCATTACATCTCACCCAGAAATCACAAGAATCAATTGCTAAGCCAGAACAAACCTAACCATTTCCATGGTGAGCATCATTTCATTGCCAAAGACATTCTAATGAACGTACTTGGGTTAGGGTGCACAGGTGAGTCCTTACTCGAATACATTAGAAACCAGAAGCATCAAATTCAATCTGTTGACTTGGGAGTGCTGGGGGCATGCACCCATAGAGAGGCGTGTGTATCTGAGTGGTGGTGGTGGTGTTTGGGTGTCTGTGTGAGGGAAAATCTAGGGTTTCCTGTGTGGGGTGTCTGTGTAAAGGGGTGTTTGTGTGGGTGCACGTATCTGTTGGGGGAGGAGGGGGGGGTGCTGCGGAGGGTGCAAGTATAGGTGGGCGGGGTCCCTGTGTGTTTGTGCAGAGGCCTGTCTGCTTATGTGTCAGGGGTAATATGTGTGCGCATATGTGTTGGGGAGGGAATCTCTGTGAGGGGGTGAAATCTGTGTGTGGGAGTGAGAAGGGGGTGGGTGGATCGTGATCTGTGTGTGTGTGTGTTTGGGAGGGGTGGTCTATGCACAGGAAATTTGTGTGTCAGGAAGAAGGGGAGAGAGAGAGTGAGAGTGAGAGAGTGAGTGAGAGAGTGAGAGTGAGAGTGAGAG